ATCCACCCTTATTTAACCAAGCTGGGCAAGAAGCATGCAGAGGTGTCATTTTGAAATAACCTCTTAACAGGTAGTGGGTTGTAAGGTGTCAATGCAATAAATGCATTGATGAGAGCTCGTATCTTTGTGTTTGCAATACTTAAATTGCACTTTCCACCACCCAAGAAATAGGATCTGCTAATCGGTACCAGGCTACAAGATGTTTTAAGTCTAAGTACTCATATGTAGTAATTTTTAAATAATAATTGCCTTTAGAGTGTGAGCAGTTGTACAGGAAAAAGCAGCTCTCTAAACTCTACTCTTTTCATTCTGCACCCTTCCACAAACTAAATATTTTACAGAGGCAGCATCTTTAAGATGCTTATGGGTGAACACTTCACTTTCTGTAGTCACATCTCATTATTTACAAGATCTCATCCAATATATGTGGCCTGTCTCAGGTCCTCAAACCAGCAAATGGGAAGAAAAAAAACCCCAAAAGATCTGTCCCCGTCTTCAGGAATAGTGATCTACGCATTTTCACAGTTGTTCAGTGGTACTCTTAAAGTCTGCAGTACATTTACAAGCAAAATCAATAACCAGGTTGGGCAGTGGAGGTGGGGGTGGACTTCTGTGTCACCACCCTCTCCATCTCTGATAGTGTTTCAGATGTGTTTCAGGGCAAAAAAATTCCACCCCAATATTTTAGTTAGGTTAATCCTTTTCCTATGATCTGTTTGCCTGGTTAGGGAAATTATGCAAAAAGTAATAAAAGTTCTAATTCAATTTCCTTGTGAAGAGATGGGTTTGAGGAAAAAAAAAAATCATAAACCATATTCTTTGTGTTTACTAAGAAATATCCACTCCAACATTTAGTGTCATGGAGCTGGAGTTAAAACCAGAAACGGTGAAGATAATTTAGCTGCATGAATGCCTACTCTTCAGTAAAATGCTGCCAAAATTAAATAGGAATGAAACAGCACTTTGTAGTCATTGGTCGCTCAGCAGGGTTTGCGTAGTTAAAAACCTAAGTGAAAAGGGTGATTGACCTACATTGCTACTAGCTTAGCACAGCTGTACTTTCATATTTTTGCTGCATCCGAGGAAGCTCATTATTTAATACAACTGAGTTACATGTAATTGTCGGTCTTTCATTTTACACTTTTAGGGGCCAGATATGAATCTCAAATGTGCGGCAGGCATTACTGTGCATCTGGAAATATCCGCGGCTGCCCATTTGCATGCAAGGCTAAGAGACAGGATTGCACACAGTTGCACCTGAAATCAGGAAGCTGCCCAGGGGTAGGAGGACCTCACAAATATGCAGAAATCAAATGAGCAGATGGAACAGAAAGCAAATCCCTTGGCACCCCAAAGGCAAATGTTTCCCTATTGTTTTGAGCAGAAGCAACCCAGAACACGCAACCAAAGCACATTTCACACAACTCATACCTGCAGTTTAAATAAGTAATAACATTCCAGTTAACAACCAGTTTGACACGTTAACAGCCCAAGGGCTGTTAACATAATGACTGGTCATTAATGGCAATAATGACAGATTTCAAAGGGAATATTGTGCTTGTAAATGGACATGCTGCCAGTCAGAACAGCGGACAGAGCAGGATACGCTGATACATTAAGATGTCACCATACAGCTCTGGAGGGAAAAGGGGGAAAAAAAAAAAACCAACTTCTTGCATATTTCACTTCCTGTAAATGGACTTGAAATATTGGTGTAAACCTAAGTTCCTTAAATTAAGTCTTCACTTCCTAACCCAGGACTGTATAAGCAGGAGACAGAAGCCTGCAGGGGAATTATACTCTGCATATCATTTTCACCGAGTGTGTTATTTCTAACATTGAGTGCTTTCTTTCCTCAAGTCAGTTCTCATCCTTGTTAACAAAACAGAGTTCATTCCTGCTGTGGCCACCCTGATACTTTTGGTGTCATACGCCGCCCCTGAAACCACTGGAGTGACTTACATGAATCAGTTTCCAGAGTAAAGCCTCTCACACCCAAAGCACCTTCCAAGCTCCTTACCTCATTAAAGACTTATTTCATCCCTCCAACATCCCCCAACCCAGAAAAAAAGGTTTTAATACAATAAGATTAACTAATTTTACCAAAGCAGAGAGATAAAGCAAAGCAAGTTTTGGAGTTCTGAAGATTTAGAGTACTTATGAAAAGCATAAAGTGAGTACCTCAGGGCTCAAATGCAGAAGAATGTGCATCAGGGTGAGTTTAGTTTTTCAGCAGGCATCTCTAAATGAGAGGTACTGGAATTATCTTTGCAAATAGCCAAAGACACAATCACACAGTTTGCGAATTTAACCATGAATGCTAAAGCACCCAAACTGGGTACATTATTGCTTATAGCATCTGCACAATGATTGTCTTATTGAAAGACATAATGAACACAGAAAGACAAGTTAATAAGCAATTTTACTCTTTATAGTATTGTTCAAGCCACATATCCTCTAGAGGGCACCACATAAATTAATAGGGAGCTAGAGCATTTTTATATGTAGAAAAGACTTCTTTTGTGGCTGAAAAGAAAAATAAAAATAAATAAGAGGATAGTTTGAAACTGTAACTGAACCCTAATCTGATCATTAGTACAAAGTAATTTGTTCTTTAAATTCATATCAAGTGGGTTGCTAAATATGAAAGCTTATTTGACTACAAAGCTAGAGAACATTTAACTATTTTCTACATTAGCATTAAAAAGATCACTTTTATAGGTTCACTGCATAGCTAAGTAGATAAGAGGCAATGAGGCAAATGACTATCTGCAATTACCTTAAGTGCATCAGTTTGAAGTTTAGTGTAAATACCAAGTTTAAATCTATGCACTCACAAGTATCACTAAAAAAAAGGTTCATGACAAGATAGCTTCATTAAGATTTGACAAACCCAGAGACCAAAAAAAAAAAAATAAATAAATAATCGGAGATTAAAACTGATTATATCATTTTTTGTGTATGCTGGTTTCACTGGAGCAGAAATAGTTACTGTGTATGAACAAACACCTGAAACACCGGTTTTGAATGTGTGTGTTCATGACAGACAGAAAATACACTCTCCTTTCTCTGAATCACTTAATATGAATTTTAACAATCTGTTAGCAAAATATTTACTCCTGTTACACCTTCAAAGACCAGAGCGCAACAGTGTGTGTGTAAGCACGTGCACACATCCATGCTGGGGAAATATGCTTTGCTCATATCTCAACTACTAGACAACTTTTGGTTTTGATTTTAAACATTTGATTTTAAAACATGGGATCTGCTGCACTTACACTAAGGAGATCTAGTAAGTTCAAAGTCTCCAGTAAATTTGGAACTCAGATCAAACAGCCATAGCAGAGTTTTTTTCTCTCCTGCATGCACTTATTGTAGAAAGGTGCCTAAAATGGGTTTTGAAAATGAGGATGTTACCTTCCTCCCCAGAAGTTGCTCTCACCCCTTCTCTACAGACACACACTTTAAGACCAAAAGTTACATTCACAAAAGTTAAGTTCATGTACAACAGTTCCCTTCAATTCAAACAGTTCCCTGCCAATATTTAAAAAGGTAAGGTTTGTTACCTACTTCTTTGGCAGATTTAACACAATGGCTTTAAGATGCAGACCTGTATGCTAAATTCCCAGTACTCTACCTTACATTCATTTCAGAGTTTTAATAGGTAGCAGAGCACTTCACCACTAAGTAGTCCAAGCCCACGTCTGGAGAGCCTTATCTGCCATGCAGCCTCAGCTGAACAAATGCATTTGTGAAGATTTTTGTTCCACTCTAGAAAAAAGAGGCTGTAACATCGAGAGCCAGAGTAGCAACAGTTGTTAATGGTTTAGTTTTGACTCCTGTTCTGACCTACCCATACTGTACAACATGGGAACTGATTGGTGTGTGGGAATCTCTTATTTGGTACCTGTGCTTAAATTGATCTTGTAAGTTAACACATTCAAAGAGAATTTTAATTTTTCCCCAGTGTATTACTGCGTTCAATGTCCCTTTAAAAGGAAAAGGCATCACTACGGGGGCAGAGGAAATATTCCCAGAAGTTCATGTTAGCCTGGAGCAGCTAGTCTCACTAGGGCCTCTCTACAGGGAACAGATGAAAGGTGCTACTATAGGAAATAGGTGCTACGAATCACCCCAGAGAACCCTTTTCTCTTTATTTACTGTTGAGATCTGAGGGAGATTGAAGTTCCTGATTAAACTTAGTTGCTGCCAAGTATCCCTATTTATTTATGCAACCTGCAGATAAACTTGCCTTGTACTGCTCATCAGCACATTGCTACAAGTTATACCTCAAATACCTTTGAGATTGTAGATTCTCAAGCAACAAAGAAGGTAGAAAAATTAGATAACTATTTGCTGTCTGAGTAGTAGCAACAGGTTATTCAGTGTTCCACTCAGGCCACCGACTTAAATCAGGACCAAAATGGATTTGATCCTGCTAGCTACATGGTTATTTTAGCAGTGGGAAGACAGTTGGTCATCTTGGTCCAGCTTCTAACAGCTAAATGGCAACAAGGCTTCTAGTGCCACAAATTAAATCCCTTGGCAAACTAGAAGGATGAAAGTGGGTAAGTGAAGACAAATGAAAGCACTCTTTACTTACAGAGTCCAAACCCTGCACTGAAGCTAGTGAAAACCATGCAAGCAGTTTCAGGCTTCTATACCTGGCTACTGCAGTGCTGCTTGGTGGAGGAACAGGCCAACAGCTCCCTGGGAGCATGGTGCTGTGGAAAGCACAGGCAGGGTTTACTTTCTCCCTCTTCTGAGCACAGAACCCCAGCATTAGCACCAGAAAACTGGCAACCACCTTCATGACCTGGTTATTTGTTCTTTTTGATTCAGATTTTAGTTTTATCTCTGTATCTTACTATTTACTTTCTCATCCTCCATATATACTCAGCCTTGCAGCCCTCAAGTACTGCTTATGCATAGCAACTACACAGTGAGGACCGAGCAGATTTTCCAAGTTTGTCAGTGAATATAGGAAGGATGTGGCCTACCTCAGATAGTCTCTGCGACAAAGGATAAGGTTGGCTTTGGTGTACAAGGTAGAGCCCACCTCCCCCAGGCGACAGTCACAGCAGGCACATTTCAGGCAGTCTTCATGCCAATATTTGTCCAGGGCCTTTAGAAGATACCGGTCTTTAATCTTACGGTTGCAGCCAGCACAACCTTTCGGCTTGGTGTCTGGCTGGACTGAGAGCATTTGTATACCTGAAATACAACAAGGGAAGAGAAGAGTGAAAATAGATATTCTCTTGAGTACATGTCTCACGTTTTTCTTCCTCCCCCTGCCAGTTTGTTAAAAAAGCAGTGGTGTCGATCTGATGAAATAACCTAGATAGTCCACCGCAAGCTGAAAACAATGCTAAGATAAATTTGAGAGCAGAAACTTCCACTGCTCTAAGTTCCACAGCTTCTCTTTAACACTTTATTTGCCTGGTCTCTTTGCTGAAAATAAATGGGATTAAAAATTTAAAATGAGAAATAAAAACAGTTCATTTGAAAAGTCATCCACTTTCACCCAAAGTACGCAATATTTAGCAACCAATATTTTAAATAAACAGCATACCTATGGTGGCAAACATACTGAAATCTACATATTTGCACTATCTTATAAAATATGGAAGCACTTCAGATTCTAAAAAAGAGAAAACTGAAGCTGTTAGAGGCTCAGGGACAGAGTTTCATGGGAGGTTTGACGCAGGCATTTTGGTCTTGGTGGGGGAATGTTTAGTTTTTTAAGATTTCAGTTCTTGTTATGACTCATGAATGAAGCAATCAGACCTCCAGAGACTTCAGTATCAGTATCTCCAGTTACAACCTGCAGTGTAAGGACCTTCTGAAAGATCTAAAAGGTCGGAGAGTTGCCAATTTGTCAAAGAAGAAAACACAAAATGAGAGACAAACAAACAAACAAACAAAACCACCACCCCAAACCCCCAGCTCCCTCCGTATCAACAAAATATAAAAAATCCTGCCTCACTTTCCAATTGCCATTTTAACCAACAGCTAGTTCTTGACAAGGAGTATAGTAGTGTCCATTAAGTGCATATATATACCTTTAGAAGTAATAGCAGAGAGCATTTAAAAACCAATTCAAATGTCTGAACCACAAATAAAGGGAAGGAACTGGTAAAAGTGGAACACAGTTGAGCGTTGGTACACAGAGCACTGCAGCCAGCTTCCAGAGATCCATACAAAAATCAATTGCCCTCAGTTTTACAGTAAATGGGGAGAGAAGGTCACTGCCCCAAAGTGCTTACAGACTGGTCTCTCTAGGTTAATCCCATGAACTGCCATCACATTACACTCAGACCAATTCTCTGAAAGTCCGTCCTTAGAATAAACAAAATCATAGCTCTGTGGATGCTTTGTTGGACATCAAACAGGCACCAGAGAGGAAGAGAGAACTGTTACACTGTCAGGCTAGCTCACTGTCTGAAAGACAATCAGAAATATAACTTTAAAAAAAATGCTGCTCATTAGAGTGCATTTGGATATTACAATGAGATTTGTCAAGATTGGGCAACAAATGCTGTTGCCAACAAGCAAATCCTACCCCAAAATTCAGGGTACAGCATCCTGTTATTACCCAGAGGCTGTGAAAGGTCAAATAGTCTTGCAACAAAGACAAGAAAATTCAAGAGCTCCTCATGAATGCTCCAATACCTACTGGTAAGAATGCTTTACAGTCCCAGCTCCTATCAGCAGATATCGGTTGGTGCTATAATACACCCTTGCAGACAGGCAGACTCAGGGAGCTAGAACATGAACAAGTTGGGATTTGTTTTGGGGTTTTTGTTTGTTTTTTAAAGCAGCCTGTACAAGGAAAACACAAAAATTAGTGCAATCTTTGAGGCAATAGTACAGTGTGTCTTTATGGATATCGGCACTACAGAGACAAGAGGTTAAACGCTATGCCGGCTGAGGTGTCCTAGGGATCTCTATGTACATGGATCACATGGAATTTATGTGGACCAGAGCAACCATAGAGCCAGTGAAGTGACTTTCCAGGATTACCAAGCTGAACTCCCAAATTTCACTTGAGAAGTTGATCACTGAATTAGAAATAGTAATTCTTATTGTGACATGCAAGTACAAAAGCCTTGCCCCCCACTTTGTAATACACTCAAATGTTTTGGAGGGATATATTTACCTGTTAAATTAGCTGTTCAGTTATACGCTGACAGTTGTCCTAGTGGGCACCTTCAGGTAGAACAGCAGTACTGGTGCACGGCATTGAAAGCTCATAACAAAAGTGTAAGATCTGTATTTTTCTATCCATAAGTATAAAAAAACAGCATTGCTGCCGTCCTGTTACTCCCCAGTCAATGCCACTCTCAAAGCTACTACACCATGTACAAACTCAAGATGCGCTTGCTGTTCACAGAAGGAAGGACGATATCTAGTGACCTGCATAGGGTTCTGCAGTGTATGGCAGATCTGGGAAAGAAAACACACTTCTCATCTTGAGCAAGCACTGTGAGACAAAGGCTGAGCCTTTACAGTATTTTCAGTTGCCAACTATCTCCCCTAAGTCCAGGGTACATAAATGAAGCAGCAAAATAAGACTGCTATGAATAAACTCTAAAAGCAGTGAAAATACGAGAGATTTTTGGAAAAGAACCTACACCAGACTGTAAAAGAAAGTCCTGCCATAACTCTAATAGCTTTGCTAGGTCAAAAAGCCTTAAACTGTAAAGTTGAGTATCATGGCAGAGTATAAATGTCTGCTGAGTGCCAACAACAAGCTTATCCCCAGCCCCTCTTTTCGGCCACATAGAAGACAAACGCCTAAAATTGCCCACAGTTTGTATCAACTTCTTGGAACTCAGTAAAAAAGTTCAGAAGCAAGAAGGGCTGTTCTAGGACTTTAATCTTTAGCTTGAGGGAAACCAGGATAAAGTAGGAGCTAACACAGTTAAAGGCTTTAAAGAAAAAAATCTTAATGTAAAAATTTTGTTGCCTGATAAGGAAGCAGGTTAGAGAGTGAAGGCTGACAGCCTCTGATCCAGGCAGATCTACTGTCCTACGCCATCTGAAAGGAACAAGATGCCGCAGAAACATGGCTAAACAAGCGAGCATCTGAAGAAATTACAATAATCAAGGCTGATAATTCCTGAGGTATATGCTGCAAACAGGAGGTTACTGTATTACAAATAAAACTGCAACTTGCACAGTCTTGCACATACCCCTGCACAACTTTTGAGACATTTTCTACTGATGAGGAAAGTAGACAGAGAACTGTCATTCCTGCTGGTTAGCCCAAACCTTCTTGTAGAGACAAGTGAAAAGGGGCAGGCACCCCACGGAAGTCGTGTTAGCAACCCCGCGCATCTATTTTCCTGAGGCTGAGAGAGAAGGTGGTGCTGACATCCCCCTGGCAGCATCTTCAGATTAGGGATTCAATCTGTAGCAGCTTTTGGAGGAAATGAATGCTCTTTTCCTCTGATAGATCTGATATTTTTGCACTTTACTTGCAATGAAGCTGCTTCTATTTTAATGAAGATTAAAAAAAAAAATAAAATAAAATTGAATCCCCAAACTACTGCGTCTTTATAAAATAAAAGTTACTCTTTTTTTTTTTTTTTGAAGAGTAGAAAGGTTCTAAACAAAACGAAGCACAAAACAGCACTCCAAAAAGTGTTTTACATATCTCCAAATTCTTTGCACATGCCCTTTTCTTTACATGCCCTGGATTAAATAACTTAATTTTGAAAATGGAACATTTTGTTACTTTCTTCTGTATTGTATGAGTCACCTAAATGCAGATCACCCCACCGATCATCTCTCTCCCCTTTAACATTCCTATTATATCGCCGATGCAGTTACACTTTTCAGATACGTGCTTGTGTCTTTTAGTTATCAATTTGGCAGTAAGAATACCTGCACCTTGTTGTCAGCCGGCTTTTCACAGGCTGCAGTTTAGGTACCCATTTATTCCTTAGGATGCAGGAAGGACCCCTTCAGAGCCTGACAGCGCCTATAAAACCCTCCAAACTCTTCGCTGCTGAAATACCAGGTAGCGGCACACAGCACTGCTGCCTGGCTGTCCTCCTCTCCCTTGGGAAAGCAGAGTTTATAGAGCACTTCCAAAAAAATCCCATACAATAAGTGCTACACGAAGGCTGTTAAATAAATAAATGAATAAAATCAAAGCCAGTTTTCCCTTCAGTCATGCAGAGTCCTACCCATGCTCTGCATCACGGAGCATATCTGTTCTTAAAACTGAGAGATTTCAGTGCCTAGTCTGTCACTGTCAAACAAGCCCTTTTTATTTCACCCCAATATGCTTTCAAGGGCTTTCTCTACCCTTCCCTCCATCTTAGTCCCCAAGATACTACACATAAACTGCAGAGCAGTGCAGGAATCAGACTTCTTCATCACCATCCACCACCCTTAGGATTTTTTGAAGGGAGAACTTAATAACCTGCTTTGCAGGTTTTTGAATTTCCCTCAGTCTCCCCATATAAGCTCAATGCCACTGACTCCCATCCCTGGTTATTGTTATTATTGTGTGATGAAACACTATCAACTGATTTGTAACTATGATTTCTGGATAAAGAGGAAGATTGCTGGAAAAAACTAAATTAGGCTCCTGGAAGAAGGCAGAGAAACAAAAATCCATCTCACTCCAATCATCACCCTTCTCAAAAATCAAAGGGAATGAATATTTGACATAATGAACTGTATTTTGTTAGTGATTTAGTGGCATCTATAAGCAAAACTGGCTCCTGATGATGCTGAGTGCAGCACACACAAAACCCACAGAGCTCAGTTTCTGGTTTGTGGTAGACAGTCTTTAAAAGGCATGTTAAAGGAGGAAGAGGTAGACATTATTATGTCCTGGATCACCTGAAAACTTTTAAAGACCACTCTCCTTTGTAGAGGCACACACACAAGGACAGTAGGATGTTCAGCATACATATAGGACATACAGTAGTATGTATTGCCTCTACTCGAATCAGTTTGGAGCAACTTAAGTATCAGTGCACTGGTCTTCAAAAGACAGCATACTGAAAATATAGAGTCAACAAGAGAGTTAGAGATCTAGTAGAAGATAAAAAGAATACTTTTACGATGCTTTCCCACTTTGTAGCTACATCCTGAAAACATTCAGAGCTTCAGTAATTCAGGATAATACACACAGAGACTTAAAGAGAAAAAAGAAGCTAAGGTTTCAAAAGCAAAGAAACATTTCCGAACTCACATGTAACACATCAGGAGTCGTAACTAGTTTTAAACTGGCATGTAAATTGTTCTGTGGAAAATTCTTACTGCCTCCGAGACCCTGCTATTCTGTGTTATTTGACAGTTTAAGGGAAATCATAATTAAAAAAAGAGACATAAATAATAGCCTGTGCAGTGTGGTGCACAGAAATAAGTAGAACCATTTCATTTAAACTCTGGTGAGCTTTTAATTGCCTGGATTGCATTGTGAACCAGCCTAACGGTTGATTGCCTCCATTATGCTCTCTTGTTCTGTGCAATTCATCCGAACAGTCTCAGCTTCTGTAGTTAACACAACAAAGTAACCGCAACTCCATAACACTCAGGGGTTTTAAAAGAAATATAAAAGTAAGGATTTTAGTACTCTGGATATAGTCTCTTCTCCATACTTTTGAGCTAATTTTCCATGCTCTATAACTAAACTTCACCTCTGGCCCCTTCTGCAGAGGAATCTGACTTTTTCTTCATTATTTTGGGTTTGGTTTTTTTAATAAGAGAGGTGAGCTGGGAAGGGGTGGTGGAAGAGAAGAGGTTAGGTAAAAACTAAAAATGGGAATGCAGTCTCACAGCTAGGAGCAGTGATACAGCTTAAAAGAATTTGGCCAACATGGCTAGTCGATTGCCAAGAGACACCGAACAAAAGATTTCTCTTCTTTCCCCTTCTCTTTTTGAAAGCTAGATTGGGCCTAAAAGCTTGTTTCTTTCTGTTCAGTGGCCCAGAGCATCCCTGCAGGCTGTAGCCCCCTAAGGGACAACGCAGCAAATAGACGTACCCAGATCTCAGGGACAGGGGGTGCTTAGCTATGTCCCTACCGTTGTCGTGTCCCCCCCACGTCTCTCCCTCCAGCTCTCTTCACACATACATACGCACCTCCCTCCCGTTTTTAGAGCAGTGGTGCTGGGAACCAATTTGATTCCCTTTTTCTCCAATGCAGCTGCAAGGCTCAGAGATACTGACATTTTTCCACTCTTATCAGTTTAATTACAGTTACCATGGCAGCAAAGTGCTAGTGCTTGGCAAAGGCCAACAAGAGATTTGCAAGACTGAGTTCAATTTTGATGCAGCTCACATGCAAAATAAAAAAATAAATAAGAAACATACACTCTCCAACAAAGAATCCCTTTCGGAGTTGGACGCTCAACCCTTTTGTGCTAATTCCTTTCCGAGCACGGCGGGGACGGGGCGATGGGGAGAAGAGAGGAGAGGGAGGCGCCGGGGAAAGCGTGCGGCGGTATTCGGTGCACCCCGCAAAACGAGCGGGTTTGAGCAGCAGTCCCGCAAAGCTCCATTTTGGGGCTCTTTAGAGCACACTCAGGCTCTCGCCAGGGCAACGCACTGGGGGTCGACGAGGGAAGAGAAGTGATCTCGGTGTTTCCACCCCCCCACCCCCCCCTTCCAGTTACAGCGCACCGCTCCGGCTCGGTGCGCGCTACACCGGGAGACCGCCGCCTTACCAAAACTTTTCTCCTTTTTCTGCATGAGTTGATTTACGGGCGCCTGGAGAGCTCCTTCTCATTGAAGCACCGAATCCCGGAAAAGTAGCAAGTGCTTCCCCGGCTCGGGTCAAGTGAGCGGGAGTGCGGCGCGGCGCAGCCCCGGGGAGGCGGGGGGGGGGACGGACGGCGGGAGGAGGGGAGGGGGAGACCGGGAAGGTGGGGGTATCCCCGAGCCGCCGGCCGCGCACGGAGATGGCGAGCGGCAAAGCCACATGCTCCCCTAACTCTACCCGTAAACCTGTAATCCCAGTGGTCTCTTAGCTTTGTTTTAACAAATGGGTTTGATTAAACTGTCACATGCGGCGTTAGCAATACCATATAGTGCTCGGGATGAAGGGAGGAAAGGGGGGCGGACGGGGCGGGGGTGAAAAAAAGAAAGGCCCGCAGACAGAAATACTGTTTCATAACGCCAGCCCGGCTGCCCATCTCCAAGCCGGTTCAAGGGAGGCTGCCCGAGCCCGGATGCCCTCCGCAGCCCGGCTCCCCCCGGCAGTTTTTTGCGCCCTCCCCCCCCCCCCCGGCTCCCCCCATCTCGACGGCAGCCGCACTCCTCCGCCGCTCTGCCCAAACGGTTAACCCGGCACCGAACCAGTTGCAAATTAAACTGCTGTACTGTGAGGCTTGTGGATTAAAGCCGGGGAGTGGGAAATTAACCGAGTCCCTTGATAATTAAAAGCACGTTTCGGGAAGCTCTGGAAGAAGCAAGAATAATAATAACAATAATAACGAGGGGGGGGGGGGAGTGGTGGTTGTGCTGCAATTCATTGTTAACTTTGACTGCTATTTCTGGAGACATACAGTTGGATGGGTTTTGCTCAGCATCCTCTGCTTGCATGTATTTCATGTCTCATCATAAAAATAATGAAGCCTCACATGATTTAAACAAAACAGTCTCAGCAGAGCTGCAGCTTGAGTGAAAGTTGCAGTGCAGAGATGTGTGTGTGTATTGCAGCCCCGGCTTATGACTCAGATAGAGGGAAGGGGAGAGAGGGAGAGTGATGCAGACACACATACACAAATGACCCAAAGCTTATGTACACAGTTGCCTCACTTACCTTCTCAATTAAGCGATACAGGGGAGGCAGTTCAATAAGCACAGTGGCTGCTTTGTAGCTCTTCTCCTTGGAAAAGGTCAAAAAGAAGCATTGTTTGGGGAAAAAAAATAAAGAGGGGGTGGGAGAGGTGGGGAGGGAGATCGCTATTCTTTAAGTTTAAAATAATGAGGTCCTCAAGGATCCGCCAAGTAATTGTGTTGACCGTATCCGAGCTACAGGTGTCCTCCTTTTAGTATCTTGCAGTCCAAGGCTGTCTGTCTCCGTCCTGGCTGAAGACAACTTACCTAAAGCAGCGTGTGAGGAGCCGAGTTGAATGAAGTCAGGGCTTTATCAGCTGCAAAATGCAATCCCTTACCAGCCAGACATAATACAGCAAAAGAAAAGGTCACTCAGTTATTACTGAGCCAGCAGAGCCCAGGCAGCTCTTGTGGAAGACCACAGAGAAGCAGCTCCCTTCCGATTTAAGGCTATTTACCTCTCTCCCCCTCC